AAAATGATCTCAGGACAGTGTGAGTTGCAAGAAAGGTGAGTGAAGAGTGAAATGATAAACATGAAGTAAATTCTAATAAATATTTCGTATAAAATAGAGGTAGAACATGGTGATTGAAGATAAATAGAGAAGGTATAACTGATTTCATGATAGCTGGGATTTGGGTACAGAATACTAAAAAGGAGCCCTGAGAATATGTGTAAGGAAATCCCCTTTTCTTCGGGGCCAATTGCTAAGTTGTGTGTGCAGAGGGTGAGCAGAGAACAAGTCCTGCAAGGCAGGAGCACTCAGCAGAGATTTCAGAACACTCAGAGCGGGAAGACACTGGCATTGAGACCCAGCCAGAGTGGAGAGACAAGGTGCATGTGCTGTGATTCCCTATGAGACACAAGAAAGGCCACGTGCTAGTAGTAATGATGCCATATGCTAGGGCTCCCTATGAGGGAGGACAAAGCTGCAATAGACCCTAGCAAATCCCACATTCAGACCCAGCAGAATAAAACCCAACACTCTTTCCAAGAGATAAAATAAGCCAGTGCCTCCATGCTGCACCATCCACACGCCACACATAAACCCCTCTAAAATCTCTAACCGAATACTTTAGAAGTCTCTTAATTGTTCACTCTTCTGAAAATCTCCCTTCTGATCCATACTGCTACCAGTGTCAGTATTTCAAAATACATATTTCATCGTGTCTCTCTTAGAGTAGGACTAATGGCTATCAGCAGCCTAGAAATTTATATCTAAAGTCCTTTCTGTGTCTCTTAATATCCCCTGTCATCTTCCTGTTGCCTGTGCGTGAGGAGAGTCGGAAGACAGCATGCAGTCAGAATCGGGAGAGAACCATTGCAGCTTCACTCCTGCAGGGAAGGAGTCTGCAATGCACAAGCCGCCCTCCGTTGACTTCCCTCATCCCTTCTTCTGGGTCGCCTGTTGCTATGGACTTCCATGCTTCTCCAAATATTTTTCTGTTAAACAGGATGCATACTGATAATCTGAATTTCCTTTTAATCCCGGTAACATTTTCCTTCCCCTCTCTTTTATGCTTGTGCTCACCAAACATTTTTAGTAATAGTGTGTTTCAATCACAACGCTGTGTACAAGATGCACCCGTAAGTACAGCACAGAGAGAAACGGTTTCTTCCATGAGTTAAGATCTTCAGTGCACGGGACAGGGTCCTTTTTGTGTTTGTGGGGTCCTAGTACTTTCGTGATATTGGTGGATCCCTGCTCTAGCTGATAAATGGAATTCTGGAAGACCTCTGTGTGGGTAAAATGTAGCACAGCCCTATTGGGAGTACAGGCACCTGTACTACAGCGGAAACTCTGTCTGGGCTCTGTCCAACGCGGAAGGGAGAACAGAGCCCAAGGGCGCGGGGAACACATTGCCCCACAGCTTCCTGGCTGAGCCCGGAGGTTTGTGCACAGAGAGGCAGGGACTCTGCAGGGCTGTGTCATAGCTGCTGGCACAGAGATACACAGCAGAGTCACCTGCCTCCGGGGACTCGATGTGGAGATTTAAATGAGCTTTGTCTGGAGACCCAGGTGAGAAGCGATTGGAAACTGTTTCATTTAAAATTAGTTCCTTATTATTGTAGGTAAACATTATCTTCAGCAATTTCTCGGAGTCCTGCTTATACCAGTACATAGCATCATTGCCCAGAGTTTGTTCACATTTCAGGGACACATTATTTCCCGTCTCTGTGAGCAGGTATTTTGGAGTCTGGAAAACAGCTGTGTCCATGGGGCCTGTGAAGGGAGGAAGCAGAATTCAGGCACATCCCTGAATTCTGTCACTGTGGGCAGGGCAGAAGGGTCAGGTCACCTGGGCCCGGGACTCACCTGCTCCCAGGAGGCAGAGAGCCACACAGCAGAGGAGCCTGGAGCCCATGGCAGGGTCAGGAGGACCAGGCAAGGCCCCAGCGCAGGATTCTGGTCTGCAGTGGCGCGAAGACCAGGCTGTGTCTCCACTGCCGCTGAGAGGGGCTGAGCCTGTGAGGTCATAGCTGTAATCATCCCCTTCTCAGGCTCCTGTAACAAGACCTCCTCCTCCTTCATGTCCTGCACTTGCTCCTTTAAAGGAGTGGTTGGGTTTTCTGGGGGTAGTTCGGAGGGTGGCTTGTTGCTCCCATGATGTGTCTCTGAGGGTGATTCCTGTTCCAGCTGCAGCCTGGCTCCCCTTCCCCACCCGGGATCTCACCCCTCCCTCCCTCTCCCTTTCAGCCCCTCCCTCAGAGTCAGGCTAGTTCCCTTCTCTGCATCTTCTCCTTTCCCCTCCCACTAATGCAGGACATTATTTTGCTCTCCTGAATCTTTGCTCCAGAGAACGTCTGATTCATGCTCAGTGACTCCCCTCCCCCTGACTATTTCAGAAGAGACTGACTTCAGGTCTCACTTGAAGACCAGCTGGAGCCATGTAAATGCACGAATATGATCTAATTTAGGAGAAAGCACTGTTGGTGAGTCTTTGAGGAGAGTAAACTGCAGCCCCAGTCTCTGTAATGTTCTTATCTGTCCAGGGGGCAGAGCTGGAAGGGAACGGGAGGCTGCTAGAGAGTAGGAAGTCACCATGTGTTGGGAGCAAATCACGGTGGAGGTAAACAACCAGATAGACATTGGGGAAGACCCATGGGAATGACTTTCCTGTCCTTGCATTGTCTACCTCCTTTTTGCATAAAGTTTAAGCACAATGCCTCAACCTAGGCCCTACTGACATAAGATGCATTAGATGAATGTTTGTTGTGGGCTTCCCTGTGCATGTAGGATGTTTAGCAGCATCCCTGTGCCCTGCCCACCAGATGCCAGTAGCCACCCCTAGTGTGACAACCAACAATGTCTCCAGACATTGTTGAATCATTCCCAGTTGAGAACTGCTGTCCTCTGTACTTTTTCCAATAGTCCTTCCCATTCTCTCCCATCCCTTCATCTGTCTCCAGCCTCAGGGTTGGTAGGGCCGCAGCTACTCCCTCTGCAATCAGTGTGGACACCACTTGGATCTTCATATTCACAGTCAGTGGACCAGGTCAGCAACCACCAGCAGAAAGATCAGGGAACCACCATGGTCAGGAAAGTCATCACATTTTTGTGTGTCTTACACACAGAAATAAACAAAAACCACCTTTGTTAATACTACCAACTACTGGTGAAACCCTTCTCAAGATAGACCCAGGTGGTTCAGTTGTGTTTTATTGAACACAGAACTAGCACTGGTGATGTAGAAATAAACAAAAGGACCACTCTTCTCCTTGGAACATGGGGCATCCTTTATCTGTTCACTGCTATCAAATGGCTACTTAGTGCAAAGCCTGAGTGAGACAATATTCTCACTCTCATGATGCTTATATTCTGACTGGAGCAAAAAGAAATTCACATGCTCTCTGTAGATTTCAGATATAAAATACATGTTACATGGAGGTCATTATTATTATCAATGTTTACATTTAAATACTTTATACAGCATCCAGGTGTCTCAACTTTAAAATAACGGGCTGAAATAATTTTCAAGAACATGACTTCATATATCCATAGATATGGGCTTTATTCATCCAGTATCCCCAAGACCTACCTCACTGCACCACATGACTTGCATGGGTCACTGTCCAAAAAAGAAAGGAAGGGAGGAAGGAAGAAGGGAGGGAAGGCAGGAGGGAAGGGAGGAAAGTAAAATGAAAAGAGTCTACATATATAATGGTGACTAGAACCATATAGACTAGAACCATATAAAGAAGTGATCACCCTTAAAGAGTGGATTTTAAATAATTGTTTATCTTACTATTTTAGTCAAGTGTTTTGACAAAATCAGGTAAGCAGCCTCTTAGGAAGAGATGCTCCAAACTGATAGAAATTGCTGTCACATGAGCTAATGATAGTTTTGGTTATTGTTTTATATTTTTACAGGGGAGTTGTAAAACAAGCATATTTTACAGTCTATTAAGAATTGTCCAATCAATATAAGGGAACAAATCAATTGATTCTTTACACTTTTTCTGACATGGCGGCCACATTGAAGAAGGGGAAACCAATACAGAAGGGAGAGAGGGTGGTTACTGGGACCCTTGGCAAGAGCCAGCTCACCATAAGGAAAATAAATGAGCCCTTTTGACTCCATTTGGACACCTTTGATTCCCTGCTCTTGTCTGATTGCTCTGGCAAGGATTTCCAGCACTATGTTGAATAAAAGTGGAGATAGTGAGCAACCTTGTCTGGTTCTAGTTCTAAGTGGGAATGCTTTCAATTTTTCCCTGTTCAGTATGATATTGGCTGTGGGTTTATCATATATGGCTTTAATAATTTTGAGATATGCTCCATCTGTGCCTATTTTGTTAAGGGTTTTTATTGTAAAAGTGTGCTGAATTTTTTCAAATGCTTTTTCTGTGTCTATAAAGAGAATCACATGGTGTTTGTTCTTGCTTTTATTTTTATGGTGTATTACATTTATAGATTTGCGTTGGTTGAACCATCCTTGCTTCTCTGGGTTAAAGCCCACTTGGTCATGTTGAATTATTTTTTTTGATATGCTGTTGAATTTGGTTTGCTAAGATTTTGTTGAGAATGTTTGCATCTATATTCATAAGAGACTACATATAGCCCAAGCAATCTTAAGTAAAAAGAACAAATTAAGAGGCATCAGTTTCCCAGACTTCAAGCTTTACCATAAGGCTATAGTAATCCAAACAGCATGGTATTGGCACAAGAACAGAGATACAGACCTTTGGAACAGGACTGAGAACACAGGTATAAAACCATCTTCGTTTGTCATCTAATCTAATGTTTAAAATTCTTCTATTTGGTGAATTCCTCAAAGTTTGGGTATTAGTGGGACAGGCATGCATGTTGGTATGTTTTATAAAAAAAAAAAATCTTCTTT